GAGTGTTCTGCTCATGCGCATCCAGGACTCTTTTGCCTGTGTTCGAATCTTTCATCCCAAGGAAACTGTCCATCAACAGCCACTGTTCCTTATCGAATTTGGAAGGAAGTATGTCCTTGGTTCGACCGTCCTCGTGCTTTACGTTTTTCCGCTGCTCCGGCGTCATGTCCCAGAAACTTGGCTTACCTGACCTCTTGTGCCAATCTACGATYTGCCTGTACTTTGTGGTCAAGGCATTCCACTTCTTCTTGCAGGAAGCAACTTTTTTGTCCCCTCCCCTCCCGCTTATCCGCTTAACCGCCGCAAGTATAGCTTCCCACTTCAATGGCCCGCTATCGAATTTGCGCCCGTTGGGGTCTATCGCCTCYAGCCGYTTAGCTTCTATAAGGGCATTGGTCAAGCTGTGATCCCAGCCACWRCCCCTCGTTTTCTTCCCTCCTGCACCCGABTGTTCAGATGCGTCGTCGTCCTCTTCGTCATCCCCGTCGTCCGKGGCACATTCCCGCTCCGTTTGAAGACTTGCGTCCACACCCCCTTCTTGCCCGAAGCTCCTCGCTGTAGAGCCTCCCCCAGGMTGAGGATGGYYGCCCGCGGAAAGTGCCGGCCCACTGCACGACTGTGACGGCACACCTGGTGACGCCATAGGCCCGCGAGGCTGGTTGACAGGCCCTGAAGCTTGAGCACTGGGTGAGYTGTGCTGCGCTGCAAAGTTCGCTGCTGCATGYGCCTGGACGTACGCCCCTTCTCCCATGAGATTGMGGGCTGCAAAGTTCGCTGCTGCATGCGCCTGGACGTAYGCCCCTTCTCCCATGAGATTGCGGGGTGTCAGATGAGTGTGATGCATCGCCATGCTGCCACTAGCACCAGTGATGTCGTGGACGGAGGGTGTTGACAACTRCTGTGTCRGCACCTCGTYGGCAGGCGGTGTAAACAAATCCTCCTCATCGCTGCTCGTCCCGTCCGAAAAGTCCCACAAAGTCAGACTACCATTCATGCTGGACGATTGCTCTCCATGGCTGGTGCTGTCACCTGAGTGGAGAAGCTCCTCGTAAGATTTTCCGAAGAGGCGACCGCTGTCCATA